AAAGTTGCTACAGGACATATGTACTCACTGGGGAAAGAGAGAGCAAGAGAGAAAGCACCCCCCAGGGTAGATGGCCACTCCACAAACCCATCTCCTCTCAGAATTTTTGGCACACACACACACATGCATAAGGTGTGTGCTTTCAAGCTGTCATATCCAGGACTTGAAACCATGCAGCTGACCATGTGATATCCAGCTGCCTTAACCACCATGCCACTGGCTGGTCCAGTTTATTTTTAAAAGCTTAATTTACATATTTCACATCTCCATTACACTAAAAGATGGTATATATTTGGCTGTCTAAAATTAAGCAGTAGAGTTGCTTAATTTTTTAAATGGTTACATTTTAAATCTTTTAAAAAGTTAACTGTAAATTTAACTTCCATTTTTTTCTTCCTGTAATTCACTCAATAGAAAAATTGTTTTTATTTCAAAATGGTAGTAGCCACTGATATTCTAAAATGAAAAGTAACCAAACAACTTATGCAAAAGAGAACCAAAGTATTTTACTCAATAGGGGATTTTTTAAAATTAAAATCTAGAACTATTGAAAGGCTAGCATATTTAAATGCCATGTCCTTATACCCTTTCTGCAGAGAATACTTAAACTATTGCATGTTTAAGATTTGATCTAAATTTCTTATATCCAAACTAACTTCTCCTTGAGTCATAAAATGTCTTATTCCATCATCTTGCCTAAATTCTGATCATTTGCAGTTACAATTATAAGCCCCAATTTCTAGTCTTTGTTAAAATGTACAGCTTCCTCATCATGCTTTGTCTTTCTCATTCATCAAGCAACCTCCATTTGTGGAAATTATATTTGGTGTACTTGTGTATAGATGATCTTTATTGCAGGTCCCCATGTGGGAAAGTAGAAGCAGATAAACCTATTACTTAGATTATGATAATCATCTCCTGGAAATGTTTTCTTTATTCGCTTGGTCCTCCATCCTATTCTCCATACCCTGCCTAAGTTCAGTTGTCATTTATTGTTTATTGGCTTCTCAGCATTCTTTCTCTTTTCTTTTGTCAACAGATCCCAATTTATTTGGGGGGAATTTCCTCTCCCTAGTTGTGATGGACTTGAGAGGAGAAGGCTTTAAATCAAAGTTCTCTGTTCTCCTCTAGAAATGATCAGATCAAATCATGATCAACTGGACTCTTGCAGGACTTTAAAGTTTGAACGGGATTATACAGAAAAGTATCACAGAGACTCTAGTCATTCC